TGCGGACTCTGTCACAAAAATTATTTTTGAGTATACTAGCTCTAGCGGAATGCTCAGCACAATGCTTGTCATTATATAACTAACTCATTATATAACATTATGTAATACTAAGTCTGATTTTGGTTTAAGAAAGCAATTTGCTGACTGGAAAAAATAAATATATGCTTATTGTACTTTCTGGCTTGACAATATATTTTTTCAAAAAAAAATTTTTTTTTTTTTACATATCAGTTTATGTAAATTACAACGACCCACTTATTTCGTTGGTAGTAAAGTTATTGACCTGATTTATGCGATTAACTTACAACTTTTATTAATTTTATTACTTCTTGTTTTAACAATGACAAATTAAAACTAATTAATACGAGATTTCAAAATAAAAGAATAAAATCATTCATAAAACCATTTCATTCAGTTTCAAGTACCTGCGCATGTGATGCGCACCGAGTGTGCCTTTAAAGTTCGCTTGCGTTGCAGTGCAACGTGAAGGGAACACAACGTGGACAGCTTAACGCTCATACCAAACGTACCGCTTACAACGCATCGCGTATTTCATAGCTTAAAATTTAATTACTCAACATTTATTTATGGCAATTTTGTTGGTTAATTATTATTTTGACCATTAAAAATTCATAATTATGAGTAAAAACTGTATGCCACATGCACGCAACTCAACTATTTTGAACTATTTGGAGAATTGGAGAAGAAGAGCAGTATCGCAGATAAATTTTAGGAGGTCTTATTTACATTCTCGAGTTTAAAGCTATGTGTCATGACCGTGTGTCATGCAGAAGTACTTCACATTACTAACCTAGTCCCTTCCAAGTCATTTGAAAGGTAATTGAAATTTTTGACATTTTCGCTGATTTATGTGATTTAGTCAATTCTCTTAAGATTTTATGTGATCTTTAGTTCCAGGTTCAGCTATTTCCTTGCAAGAAATCTAATTTTATTACTTATTGCGCTACCTGAACAAATCATCTCAAAGCGTTTTATTGTTATACAAATACGAGCAGCAAATGCCCCACGTGCAGCATGGCACTTCAACTCCAATTCTGTGTCCATATCTTATATTGCATATAAAAAATAAAGTCTGAAAAAATTTTGGCTCAGTCGGTTTTCAAATGTTTGCCAAAAATGAACGCGGCTTAAGACGCGCTGCAAAAATTGCTGAAAAAGATAAGCTTGGATTTTAAACTTCGTGCGTTATTTGTGTTGAAGTGAAGATAAAATATAATAGTGTTTATTGTTTTGATTATATTAAAATATTATTATTATTATTGATCTAATATTAATTGTGAAATGGGTTTTCCAACATTTGGTAATCTTTATCAGCATTTATTGTTAGTGTTGCCTTTCACCTCAGTGCCTGGTACGTATGAGCTACTAATTATGCATTACAAATCCATTTAATATGTCTACAATTAGTGTATAATTAAAATACCAATAATTAAACGAAATTACAGAATTGTGAACTTTTAACAGAATCAAGGGCATATGGGAGTTTCCTTTCTTTTAAAACTGTATTTTATATTTGTACGCAGATACACTTATAGTGAGATATATACTTTAAGGGTGACTTTGCAAGTAAAAAATCGAATGATTATAAAATTAATCTTCGGTTTTAACAGCGGATGTAGCTTGCAGATTAAAACTAGAATGGTTATAGAACTTATTATTTAGATAAGCACATACTACAAAGACTCAATATATTTTATTTAAAAAATAAAGAAGAATTATAGTGGTTGTTTAAATAATTTGTGAAAAAGCGTTTATTTTGCATTTCTATTTGAATAGATATAGCTCAACGGTTCATTTTCAGAAGCTACAGCCCGCTTTTTATTTGTTGAAAAATTATTATAATAATAAAATAATTTCGAACTATTGCTTACGACAACTAATGGTCTTAAGCTCTATTCTGGTATTTATGTTGTGTTGTAATTGTAAAAATATATTTTTGGAATAATTTACATTAAATTAAATATATTCTGTAAATTTAGATAAAATTTCAAGCAATTAATTATATTAATATAATTAATATTAATAAATTTTGATATATTACATTGTATTATATTAATATATTAACTTTTAATATTAATTATTAATAATATAAATACTATTTTTAATATAAATATAAAAATTTTATATTAAAATATTAAAAAATAGAAAAGTTACATGCTTGAAATTTTCTTTATTTCTGTCTAAATTTAAAACATATATTTAAATCTAATATAATATAATATATATATAATGTAAATTATTCCAAAAATATTTTTTTGCCAATTATAACACAACATAAATACCACAATAGAGCTTAATATTAATATTAATATCAATAATTATTAATATAATATTAATTAATATTAATATTTAATATTAAAATTTTAAAAAATGGAAAAGTTACTTGCTCAAAATTTTATTTATTTCTATCTAAATTTAAAACATAAATTTAATCTTATGTAAATTATTTCAAAAACATATTTTTATAAAAAAATATATATTAATATTTTAATATGTAGTAAATATTTTTTTAGATATATGTTACATATAGATTGCAATTGTGGTAGCAGTACAGTTACTTTCTTACTCCAAGTAGTGCATAAACAATATTTAGTAGATAGATATAAATAGACGTTTTCTATATCTCCCCAATTTATTTACGAACATCCTAAACCACTAAGCAATATTTATGACAAAAAAAATTTGATCATTGGGAAAACCATTGTTATTTCTTTTTTTATTATTAAATAGTACACTATTAATGCAATCTGAGCTAAAAGATCTATTGTGCGCCTAATAACAATTATATATTTTTAATTATTTATTTAAAAATGTTTATTTAAAAAGAAGTTCTTGAGCTGAAATCTTTCTGGGAATCTCGTAATGAAATCTTAAAAGTATTTAGTAAGGTCTAAAAAGAACTTATGCGATTGCTAAACGAAATTGTACTTTTAAAATCTATATTTGAGCCATTCACCTGTCTAGTAAGTTCATAAGCTTCCGTAATGGAATGACATTATCTAGCCAAAGGTGATAAATTTCGTGTATTTTCATTTTTTTCCTGTTCTTATTCTTCTTCTTCTTTTAGGTGCTGTAAATTTATTTAAAAGGCATGTCTTATTTTTCGATACAATATACCTAACGGTCAGAATTCTTAAGAAACCATCATGAGTTTAACCATTTTGAACTAAGTTCTACTCAGAAATAATTCATATTTTTGATAGATTGTGGGTTGGATCATTTAAATTGAATATAAATTTTTTAGCTCATCAAGCTCTTCCACATATGTTCGGCTAGTCTTTAGAAATAAGAATTTTAGTAATATTATCCTGCATCTAGATTTACAAGAGTTTAGAAAGATTTCTACACACACTTTCACTTTATTTCACATTTTTGGGGCTAACAGAAATTGTGGTTTTGCTGAGAAACTCACTTCTTATTAAAAAATTTGAATTGCAGTTTATTATTTAGTGTTATTATTATTTAAGACCATGTCGAATTATATATTTCACATCTGAAAATGCTTGTTTAGTTTAATTAATTTAATGATTTAATTTTATTATTAATATCACAGAAGTTGTAACTAATTTATTGTTTATTATATTTTACTTTTCAATTTCAGATAAATTAATTATTCTTTTTTTTTTCTTTTTTTAATTTAATTATTTAATTTAACCTTAATTAGTTACTATCATTATATAAAATAAAATGTGTAAGAGTTAAAAAAATAGATAAATATTTATTATCAGTTAAAAAGTAGCTCTTGCTGGTGCCTGATTAGTATAGCATTGTCATTTTACTTAACAACACGTCGATTGTAACTAACTAAGCTCACGAGTTCTCAACAAACAACTAAATATTAATTTAACATTTTCGCAATAATGTTAATAACATAAAATGTTAGTTTTCCTGTATTTGTTAGATGTGCGTGCTTTTGCGTTTTTTCTTTTAATGAATTGGTTTATTTAGTTTTGAAATTAATGTAATTTCTATCTTTTTTACAAATGTGAAATATATTTCTGTTGACTTTAGCATGAAATTACTTCAATTTGCAGATTTTTTTGATAAAACCTTAATTTACCATTTTGTTTGTCATACACACAATAACTATTAAAATTATGTGAAGTTTTTAAAATGCTCTATAAAATCTCTACAACTCTCTAGAGTAAAAAAAAAAAATTTTAACAATGTAAACAATAATTATCGAATTAAGTTATTTGCAAATTTTATATTTCAAAACTATGTTAAATTAAATGAATGCATATTAAAAGATTTTTATCTGTTTATTATTCAGAAAGCTTCAATTATGATAATCCAAATGAATGGTTCCAGGAATATCCACAGTGTATTGGGTTTAAACAATCACCAATAGCGATAAATACACACAAAGTAAGAGTAATATAAGTAATAATGAGAGAATTTTAACTTAAATAATTCCCTATATGTATTTAAATTAATTTTGTTTAGTATATTTTATATACATAAAAATTTTTATAGTCTTATAATGTTAATTTACCACCTTTAATATACGGTTATTATGATGATCTCTTTGAAGAATTATTATTACTAAAAAATAATGGACATACAAGTAAGCAATGTTTATTAATATACAATATTCACACTAAAATAAAAAATATTATTAATAACTTTCTATATAAAATAATGTAGTTGAGTTTGAAATACCAAAAACAATACTTGGTGGAAAACCTTTCATTACTGGCGGTTTGCTCTCTTCTATATATGAAGCTCAAGCAGCACATTTTCACTGGGGTTCTTCTCAACAAAAAGGTTCGGAACATATGTTAAATGGCAAACGTTATGATTTAGAAATGCATATTGTTCATAAAAATAGTAAATATAAAGACCTAAAGGAAGCTAGAGAGTATGAAGATGGCATAGCAGTAGTAGCCGTTTTATTTAAAGTAGTAAAGGTAAAGTAAAAATATCACACGAAAGTAATCTTTTAGAAATAACTATTACATTTATTATCCTATTTTCAGTCACCTAACGTGTATTATCCTGCACTTAATGATATATATAATACACTCCCCCAATTAGTGCATTACAACTCTTCTTCTAGCACATCACAATTTCTTACCTTAGGCGCTTTACTGGGTAACATTAATCGTGAAGATTATTTCACTTATAAAGGATCATTAACTACACCACCGTGTTCAGAAGCCGTAACTTGGCATATATTTCCAGAGGTTGTGCCAATTTCATATTTAGAAGTAATCACATAAAATATTTATATAGTATTTGGATTAAAATATTATATATTATATATTTTCAGTTACCAAAATTTTGGCAAATTCTTGATAAAAGAGGTCAATTGCTGCTGAACAATTTTAGACCCTTACAACTGCAAGAACATCGTAAAGTTTTTCATCAAAATCCACATTTAAATCATATATTTTAAGTATTATCACTATTTAAACATTATTATATATATATATATATTGATTAGAATAAGATTTAAATTAATTTAGTGTACATAAAAGTATTATTCAATATTAGTTTATTTTTACGTAGGCTATAGTTAATATATGTTATTGTATAAAGACCCTGCATTTGAACCTGATTAAGTTAATTATGAGTATTGTGTAAAACTTTGTATATGCAAATATGTATTATAAAATTTAAAATATATTTATTGATGTAAAGTCTTCAAGCGTTTTGTAAAAAAAAGTAATAAAAAAAATAATAATAAAATTAAAAATAATAAAATAAAAAGAGTTCAAGTTCAATAACTTAAAAGTAGACTGTCTCAAGTTGCAGGCGTCAAAGCGTCTTTAATTTTTATATCAGCGCTTAATTAATACGACAAATCAAAAGACGCTCTACACACTTCACCTCATCAATGTTTTGTTTATCAACAATCATCGTACAATATAAATTGCACTATATTTATTCAAATATTTCGTAAAATTTATTTAATAGTACTGAACATTTCTTTGGATTTGATTTATGTGAAAACACTTAATTTGTCATTTTTGATGTGTTTCTGAAAGTATTCGCACTTGATTAGCATAAATTTTGCAAAATGAAAAAAAAAATTCAAAAGATGTCGAAAACTTTTTGGAAATACGCTGTGTATACGAAAACAGTATTTTAGTGAGATATATATAAATACGTTTAACTCTTAAGAGGAGCATAGGACCGCAATAAAATTTTTCCATTCAGAACAATTATTAGCTAATAGCTTTGAAGCTATCTCTCTCCAACTTTTCTGCACACGTGACACTTCTGTATCCGTTTGTCTTCTCCAGGTATGCGCAAGCCTACCCCTTCTTCGGTTACCCATGAAATTCCACTCGATCGTCATTCTTGTGGTGTTATTGATTGGTCTTCGCAGAGTATGGCCTATCCAGTCTTGTTAGGTAAAAGGACTGGTAAGTAAAGACTTGTAACGCATCCATATAGGAAGGTGGACTTTATTATTGAGTTGAATATTTGAATTTTAGTTTCTGGAGTTTTATTTAAGTTTGCAAAAGCCTGTTTTGCCTTATTAATGCAATTCTTGCTGCTAGCCCTGAATATATTCTTTGATATTATGCTTTCAAAATAGCAGAATGACTACTTGCTTACATTTACTAGAATTTAATATTAAATAGCTATTAAGATAGTTTTTAGTTATTGCCTCTTTTTTTTTGTTCCATCATTTTTTAGTACTGTTAGCTAGCACTTTCTTCAATGAACATCATCAAAATAAATTTTTTGGTATTATGAAATTATTTTTCTATGTTACCATGAACTACCAAATGTTTAAGTGAAATATAAATTTTTTTTCGAATAGAATTTTCTATACTTAAATGATGTACCTACCACTTTTTACCACTTCTGCTTTTTTCGACTAGAATCATTTTTTTTTACTCGAATACTTATTCGAGTGGGAAAGAAATATCCAAGTGGAAAGTGGGAATATCCAAACTTCTTAAACAAGTTTAGATATATTTTTTCTTATTTTTTAATGTTTTGTTTAACAACACTAATTATTGCTGGTATAAAATTGTATCAATACTATAACCATAGGAAACATTTTACGTACACAAGTAGTAATTTTTTTTTAATTTAACAGTATGTCTCTATTGAATCGCTTTTATTTAATGCCTAACAATAAGTTTTAGAATCCTAAAAACTTATAACACAAGCAATAATGAAAATTATTTTAAGTGTTATAATAGAATCGACGATTGGGATAAGGCTAATACAATAGATATCATATGTAGTAGGTTGCATACATATAAACATAGTGCTCTCTGATATCCCCCTTACTTTAAAATCTCTCTCTTTCTTTCGAAGGGTAGAAAAAAGTTAAAGAATAAATAAAACCAAAGGATGTCCCTAATTAAATAACAACTGAACTAAACGTGTTTTAATATAAACAGTAGCGTCTACACATGGAAATTAGAAAGATGATCTACAGTCAGATAATCAGACCGGCACTTCTATAGCCAAGCTGCCAACTCCACTATCCAAAAGCTGCAAGTTGCTCAAATTCAGGTTCTTCGAGTAAAAATGCCCAGTTGCACTAAATCGGAAAAAACCTCAACAGAAGGACACATGGACACATCTACACATGGAAATTATAATTTTAATTATATTTAATTTGTTTGTGAATTTTTAAACTTATTTTTTAGTAAATAAATTATAACTCTCATTATGTTTGTATATTATCTCCTATAATAAAAGAGAATGTTATGTTATATGTAATTGAATTAGAAATCTTAATGTAATTTTAATATAAGATAGGATGGGTGTAATTGTTTTAGATTTATCAAATATGAATGCAGACCAGTGATTATATGGAAATATGAGATCCAATGCACAATGTAATATGAATAATAATCGAAAGGTAATCGAAATATTTATATTTTCAATTGGCGAAAATGTAAACATATACGAATACAATATATATTGCATATCAACATAGAGAAAGAAATAACTCCATTTTTCTGGGAATCAAAGGTATGGTAAATACTTTTTTACAATCCATACTGTTAAAAATATCATATATGTATGTGTTAATAATATATTTGGCATACTTAGCATTTCAATTGGTTTTACATGGAAACCGTGGATTTTAACCTCACACCGTAGCAATCTTAAGATTGTTTTCATTCAACACAACTCATAGTAAAGCCAAGTGAAATATTTTCAGATATCAAACAATTTTTAATGTGGATTGTGAAAATAAAAGTTGATTGATTGATTTAATAAATATAATATTGAACCATATTATTTTAACTCACATCAGCAAAAACTATTGATATCACAAAGTAGGTTTTGTAAATTCCCTTTTACTATCTTAAAAATTTTTTTTTTTTTTTTAATTTTAATGCAGTCATAAAAATTATTACAAAATCTTAATTTTTGTAAAAATTATAATTATTAGTTGAATATAAGAGTTTTATATGTATAATAAAAACACTAAAACTTCAAAGAAAAATTGCAAAAATGTTACACCAGATTACCAAAAACATGCATTTAAATAAATAATATTAACATAAGTTGGCCTTATAAAGATGAACTCCATAATTAGCGCGAAATTATTTTTAAAAAAATAAAAATGGTTTAGTTTAACATAAATTTTTTGTGAAAATGAATCAATTTTGTGATCTCCAACATAAGGCAAAAAAAGTAACAAGAATATATAGTATATAATAACTATTGAAATCTTAAGAAATAAACAAAATTCAATCAGTAATACATCTATTTAGATGTTAAGGAAACGAATCTTTATTAATTGATTTTAATTTTATATTAGATGAAGAATTATTATTAATACGAGAGTCAGATAAATGAGACCAGAATAAATCCATTGTGCATAGACTTGGTTATTTAATTTTAGACCAGGTTAGTAGTAAAGCTTTGGTCTATCAGAAGCTGGACATTAAAAATAATAGTTTGTTTCACAAAACCGCTAGCATGAATATCAAGCGACTTCACTTATTGCAATGACCTATAAAGTAACCAGATATAAACGTCACGCATAGTCTCTTTAGCGAAAACATCTTACTTGATAAGTATCTTATTTGGAATGAAAAGACGTTATAGTATGCTAAACGACCTACACTATTAAGTACAAAGTGAACAACCTTTTATTCCTTTTATTTACTAGTCAACCAGTTAAGACTCAGGACTAATTAAGTACAAGTTCACTCCTTTTTAGAATAGATAATCGAACGAAATAATTTGCATTCATCTTACTGCCCATCTCCCCTTATTAGGATAGAGCTTTTTGATTTTGTTTATTAATATACTGTGATTTGAGTTTTGTACATCCAAACTGATATGATTCCTGCTAAAGCAGACGGATTTTGCATCAGCTAATCTTAGTTATACCTACAGCTTTCATTTTAATACGAATTAACAATAATTTTTATGAATTCAGAAATGTACAGTAGCTTCGCTCTCTTCATGAACAGAAGCTCACTTCTCTTCTGCATATTTCCATTTAAAGCACGTAGGAGCTTTGCTCTTTTTATGAATAAGAGCATACCCTCATTTAAATCGCCTGTATCTAAATAAGACAATTTGATCAGAACGTGTTAAAGCTTTATTTAAAGTTTACCTTCTATGGGTCTGTGCATTATGCTGTAAAATGCGTCCTTGGCAATCAATGCCCTGAATCACTTGTAGGCACTTAAGCTACATCAATCATAACTCAAACCTGCCATGCTTCCTTAAATCACTTACCTAAACTAGGTCTTCCTTATAATGACCTCTTTCAGGGTTCGGTTGGGGTTTTGAAGACGAGGAGGAAACTATATTTCGCCTTATGTGTCAGTACCAATCTGTCTGAGCTTTCATCCTGCAATATTAGGAACTTAACCAGATTCATAGAATTCTCAGGTTTGCCTAATGTGGGAGTAGTTGCCTTTTTCGGCATTGGTCATATACTGAGCTTTTTGTCTATGTACGAACCAGCACTATTCCTGTGGTAACACAGCGGGCCATTATTTGTGCTCAAGTAGGCTTTCTTGGTATGCAAAGCCGCCACTCCAACCTAATCTAACCATACTTTCTACGGCATTTATGAATCGTAGAGTGCATTGCATTTTCTTTATACCATCCAATTGTAGTAGGTGTTCTCTTAAGTTTTCTTGGGTTCCATTTATAATTAAAATATACAGCAATAATTTTCATGCAAAAATTTTCTTTCATAACTAATCCATTTAATCAATAAATGTACACTACATAAACTGATTTTTGATTTAGATGCACAGAACTCAATATTTTATTTCATGGAGATATCATATTGAATAAACTGATTTACTACTGAAACTTTATTTTAATATTTTAAATATCTTAAACTAATTCATTTTTTTTTTGTCATTTTATTTTTGGTGAGGTAAAATGTTTTTACCTTTGTTTTAGAGATTTTAGCGATCCTTCGTTTTGTAAAATTTGATCTAAATTGTGATTTTACTTAACTTCTTGATTGTGGAGACTTCAGTCATATGTATTCCTAATTTTAACTCATTTTACTGATATTGAATATATATTTATTCTAGGTTTAATAGATTAAAACCCGAATTTTATCATCCTTCCTGTAGAATCCTATAAAAAGCAATTTTTCTTGTAAAAATTATATATTTTTCTTATAAAGTAAAATGAAAATTACTAAGTTGCACTTGGAACTTACAATAAAAGAGCATGATGTCATCATACTTACTGCTTTTTTAATCAATTACCGCGTTGACACAAAATACGGTAAAGGTGCATTAACTCGTTTTATTGTAGCACACTTAAATTGCAGTCGTTTATATGCTGTGATAGTTCAACTGCTTCCAATTCGAATTTCAATGTCTTTTATTTTAATACGCTAAAAAAAGTTTGGATGCGGTTTAAGAATGCACTTTTACGAGCGCATCCAACTAAATCTATTCAAATTAATACCAATGAGTTAAGGCCTTGTATTAAGGGGGTAATTGATTATCTCATAGAAGTTTCCTTTCTATTTTTAATTCACACATACCCATTTTAGTGTTTTTAAATTGTTTAATAAGACAGATAAATTATTTAATATATGTTATAAATTATTTATCATTTCTTCTATTTTTGTTTAATTTTTTTTTTTTTGCTATTAGACTATATTTTATACACATAACTACGAAGCAGATCAAGAAATGGTGCATATTTTAGTATTTTTTTTATGAAAACTTATGTGCCAATCGAAATCATAAAACAGAGAATCTGATTTCAATTTTATTTTTAAGACTGTATACGACTGCCTCCTCTAACACATACACATACCTTTACCTTAGAACTTTCACACTTATGGCTTAGCCCCTCCGGATTTTTTTATTATTAAATATTACTTCGTGCACAGTTTCAGTTACGAGCACCTCAGTCTATATGCCGCAACCCATATTTTCGTCATCGATTAAGAGTGGTATTACTCTATTAAAATGCTTTATTTCCATTATGACATATTTATAGCGGGCTTTAGTGACTTGTATTGACTCCGATAGTTTTCTTATTAAACTAAATAAAAAACACTACGCTATATATATTAAATAAGTATCTCCTTTATTATGTTCAGAATTTATCAAAAGAATTTATTCACAACCGAAAACTAGAAAAGTATTTCTAAGTTCATTTCTTAAAACTAGATTTTCTAACCTCAACATTTTTTAAATTCATTTTTTGAAATATCACTGCTGAGATGGCAAAATTTATTAACGCTACATACACCAACTGAGGAACACCATCTAATATGCCACAACCCATACTTTCTCTCTGATATACCACACTCAAAAAGTCCATTACTATTTTCAATATGAAAATTATACTTCACTTCGAAGACTTCAAGAACACTTTTAATGGTGACCCCCACATAACATATCTTTTAAATTCAATTTGTGAAATATGATTGCTGAGATGTATAAATGTTAATGCTACATATAACTTTTGGTACACCAACGGGGGAACACCATCTAATATGCCACAACCCATACTTTCTCTTTGATATACCTCACTTAGAGTTCTCTTACTTCAGAGACACTTCAGGAACACTTTTAATCGCGACCACCACTTAACATATCTTTAGATACAGAATGCATGGTAATCATGGTAAGAATATCATGATTATTGACATCTTCTGCGAGAGTTAAGGGAACATCATCGTCATTATTACTATTAAAAATTTTTAATTACTTTTTATATAGGCTATAAAATAAATGTATAAACATTTTTTTGAAATTGTAAATTTTTTTGATTAAAATTTATTTTTGGTTTACAATTAAAATATTTAATTATGCCAAATATACTAAGAACTACGCTAGTTGAATAAAACTTTATATATTTTAATACAATTTAATACAAATTTTTAAACAATATTACAGTATATGGCTAAAACTTTAGTTTCAATTGGCCTCTTCACTTATAAAACTACACTTTTAGGTACTTCAAGTTACAATTGTTGTTAGACTTGTTCTGAGATTTCTTAGATCCTTGTTTAAAATTAAAAACTTCGATAATACATTCGTTTTCATCCTTCTTACCAATTATTTACATTCAAATTGAAATTCAATTAAAAACTAAATTTTAAATAATTAAATTATTTTTAAAAGGGCAGTTCTGATGGATTAAAGCAAATTTTTTTTTATTATTTTCTCTTGATTGAAAATTGATATTTTCAACGCCTGTGGATGTCCTTAAAATTGTGGATTATTACAACCTTTCTGGTGTGTTTCACTCGTGGCATGATTAAAGCGTTTTCGGGATGCTAACTAAATTTTTGGTTTTGATTTTTGATTTAAAATACTTTCAGCTACTAAAGTGCGTTTGTGTGTTTAAATAAATATTAAATATATATTTCATTATATTTCATTATATTATTTTTATATAAATAGTTAAATTATTTAGCATTGTACCCTGCGAAGAAAGTAAAAATACAGAATATATAATAAATAATTTTATATAAAAAATAATTGCACATAAGTTGGGTGCATTAATTTTTGGGGTTTTGAAATAGCCAATTTCTTGTGGTGAAAGAGTTGCTGGGGGAAGAGATTTTTTTAAAGTAATTCCAATTGTTTTTGTGTTTAGTTCTTTTAATTTTTGGCATTTATTGTGCATTGTTTATAAAAATCCCAAATAAGTTTTATCATTTTTGCTGCAATAATTAGAAACTCATAAAAAATTAATTTAAAAAAATGATTAAATTATTAATTTAAAAAAAAATAATTTAAAAAAAAAATAATAAATTTTAAAAAAAATTTTAATTTTGATTTCGTGCTAAAATGTTATTTTTCAGTTATTAAAAAAATTCGTTCATTTTTAGTGGTGTATATTAGTAGCATACCCTTTAACGGCTGTTAAAACTTTTTAAATAGCCAGTGTTTTGGGGCATTTGTTTTTATTTATTTTAAGCAGCACCTGTTGTTTTAAATCTAGAAGAATTAAAAATTATATGCATTCATTTTGTAATTCTCAATTTGTTGTTTTTTTTTTTAATTTGAACAATTCCATTCAAAAGTGCCAATTAAAAATCACTTAAATGCTGTCTAATACAAACATTACAAAACAATATTTGCAGGAAGGAACAAGCAAGTTTTAGCTAAACATAAGGATATGCAAAAATATTTAAACAAATTAAATTATAACGCATTTTTTTGTTTATTACAAAACATTTAAGAGAGAAATTTAGAAAAATATAAAATATCCATATACCTCTTTACTATGAATTTTTTGAAATAGAATTATAGAAATAGAAAGAAGAAACATTATAAACTCGATAATACACACTAACTCAATTTATATATATATTTTAAAATTAAATAATATACAAATTAGATTTACAAAAAATTTGACAACAAATAATAGTTATAATTCTTTTATATAAATTGTTAGATTTTCCACATATATACTCTATCATTTATTTATATAAATTTAACTGTCTATTTCATGTTAAGACTTTTTCGAGTTAGTGCATCTGAAGTACTTTTACTCTTTGATAAGGTGGTTTCTGCAGAGTTCCACCCTTCTCACTGACTAATTTAAGTATTTCTCAAAAGCTTCGTGATTATTCAATGACTGATCTAAGATCTGCTTACCACCTCGTGCGGCTAGAGATTTTTCTGAGATTAAATAGTGCTAAGTAGGGTAACCTGTCGATTTTCGCAAATAGCTTCAGGGCTCTGTCCCTTATGTATGTTTTGACCGGGTCTATTCTAAGGTCATTTGTGCGGATGTACCAAATCACTTTAAATAACTGTCTATTTCTGAGAATTAAATGAAATCACAAAACTATAGTTTGTTAAGTTAATAGATAACAAATAAGACTAGTAGTATTACTCAACCTGAAATATACTGCGTACCGGAAAAAAATTTAATATGTTTAAGAAGGTAAAACATTCGATTTCTTTTACAAGGGCCGGTACCAATATCTACGATTGTTCTAATAGCGCAACACGATTATTAAGAAACCCTAGTTCAGAGTTATCTAGGCATTTTTTTTTAAATGCAGTAAAAACTCACTTGACCGGCCAAGTCTGTCTGTTCATTGAAGCATCCGATCAAAAGTGGTTGAGTTTTTTCAAATATTGATAAAAACTTGATAATTTTTGAAAACAATTCACCTAATGTGAGTGCATTATTACCTTGGAGACCTTTGCACGATCTGAGGCCTTGCATATTTGTTATAATCGAGAGTGAGTTCAACTTCTTTCAATTAAAACGAAACTGTACCACTAATGCAACTATTATTTAATTTTAACTTATGACGATTTATCGATATCAATAAAAAATGAAAAATATATATATATGTATAAAAAACAAAACATTTTTATTATCAAAAACTTTAATGCTTATGAAATAAGACAAACAAACAATATATTTGTTACATTAATATTTTTCTATTTACAATTGCAGTTTTAATGACAACATAAAATTGGAAATATGTATCTAAAAATCTAAAATTTATTTATAATGGTTTAATGTTTGGTATATAGGTGTTGTTGTTGTTGTTGTTGAGCAACTATTAGGAAAAATTAAGTTATTAAGTTTTTTAGTTACTTTACGAAATAAAAAGTCATATATGGAGTACATAGGTCAGGGGGCAAATGTGTCGGATTTATACATAAAATGCAGTTTTTTATGCATTTTTGAGGATATATGCTGCATGTACGATATGTTGTATGTTCCTGCACATACACACAATGATCGGATAGTTTTACTATATTTTATTTACTTGTGTGTTGTAAATTATGACCTAAAGTGTATTTTGTTAAATTAAAGTTTTGGTGTCGGCATGAAAGACGTTTCCCTAAGAAAAAAATAAAGAAATGAAAATATAAAATGCATTAAAATTCATTAATTGTTGTTAGTAATCAGCATTTTTCATTAAACTTTTTATATAAAATATATACAAAAACAAAAACAGATTAATTGATTTTTATGATACTTAAATTTTTTTGAATGAGTCTTGAATTGTGCATGCTTGAAAGTGCTATAGAAAAAAATGGTTATAATGGAAATAAGTTGGTTGGGTGATACCTGTAAAATTAAAAAAAAAATATTTACAAAAAAAATTTACATGTAAAACACAATAAAAATATAACCAAACGAAAGAATAAACATTAGATCACTGAATTAAAAAGAAAATCCCTTAAAATTGTTGTTATAAATAAATTTGAATATCATATAAAAATTCTGAATAACAAAGTTAAAGATATTAAGTCATAAAAATAGTGAAGTGTAATCAAAAACTTTAAAATATTAAACAGATATCAAAGTAAAGTAAACAAAACATTAAGAAAATAGGAAGAATATTATACAAGAAGAAACACATTCATATAATAAATATTATATAAATATAGAAATATTTTAGAATATCTGTATTAAGTGATTATTAAATGATATAAAATCTATTAAATCACGAAGAAATAAGATAAGAAAATCATCCAAATAATATTTAAACAGTAAAGGAAAAAATTTCTATTAATCATTAAGAAAATGAACTTAAAATCGATTCTTGTATAATGATAGGATATTAAATAATGCTTACGGAAAATCATATATTCTACATTCATATCTCAGAAATAATCTTTTATAGATATACTACACATACTCTTCGTAGTACCCCAAGTACACAATATTGAACATTTTTTCATACCCAATTTTCACTTCAACCTTAATCTATCTACTTCATATACGGTATATTTTTATAAGTTTTCTACTTCATATACGGTATATTTTTATAAGTTTTGAATATCGCGACGTGTGCGCCATTTGATCATCTGAAAAGATGAGTACCTCTAAAACATAGATTTTTTCGCTCCCCATACCACTTACATCCACTCTAATTTTCCACCTTTTCTAATTGTATTATGTATGCAAATATTTATTTAAAAAATTTTAAGAAATTATTGAAACCTCTTACATAGAAATGAAATAGGAATTTACAGAACTCACTTCTTTTTCATAGATCACAGAAAACTACTAGGTAAAAAGGACTGTATACTAAACCACATAAAGGAAGAAATTAAAGAAATTGGCCAGTTAATGAAACAAGACATGAATAAAGGAAAATTAAGCACAAAAAATTTCTGATGCAGTCAATATATGATGTATATCTAGCGCACCAACAAACTTATAAGTATTAAAAACAAAGGAAAAGATTGTTAGAATAATGCTGGAAAGAGTGGAATGAATATATTAGATAAGTTAAAATAAAGCTAAAAAGGATAGAAAGTGTAACACAGTAAAATGAGCTAAAAGTTCGATAAATACTTGTGAAATATAAATGCACCTTAATCCTAAACTCCGCTGAATACTTTGTCCCAACTCAAATTTTATACTTATTTATATATATATTTATTATTTTTACCAATAAATCCTAATTTAATGATATTGATAAAATAATAACATATGGTGTGAGATTTATCTACAAAATACAAAATAATATTATTTTAATAAAAGCAAATATAAATACATGAAAACATTAATAGAAGATGTAAGGTAGTAGTTAATAATTTAGTGAATTTTATCTCTCATTTTTAATATTAAACAAAAATAACACAACAATACATAAAAATAAATTTAAAATAAAAGAAAGAAATTAATATTAAAAAATAATATTAAACAAAAACAACAAAATAAAACATAAAAATAAAAATTAATTTATAATAAAATAAAGAATTAATTGGACAAAATAGATTCACAAATTAACATTAGTATTAGTTTAAGTAGAAGCTTTTTTGTCAACAGTTTTTTAAGCAAACTTTGATTAGTAATATTTAGCAAACTTTAAGCAAATATAAATGAAACAGTTTATAAAATTTGAAAAACTATAGCATTAAGCGATTTTGAGAAAGAATTTAAATTTTTTCAAATATTTTAAATATTTATTAATAATTTATAAAAGACTTACATGTGCTCGGGATGAGAACGTATACATTCAATCAGTTCTTCAACTTTAAGTTGATTTGTACATATTTTGTGTATGGCGGTAAATAATGGGAATCTAAAATCAAATTTTATATAAAGTTAAATTATTTTTAAACAAATAAATTTTATAGATAAAATACTTGTCTTCTAAACCCTTATTTTTGAGCATATAGTTAACTTCTTCGGCTGTAGCGGGGCCTTGCAATTTTTGACCATTTAACAATTCAGTTTCTAATTGCGCTATTGTAAGACCAGTCTTAACAAAAGCTTCAGAAACCTTACGATTGCGGCCACCTTTAAAAAATAATGTAAATAATTAATATTATATTATTATATAATAAACTGAAGGATTTATCACATACCATAACATGTTGTTATTAAATCTGCAACACCACAACTTTCAAAGAAAGTTGATAATTTACTGCCAGGATAAAACACATCTACAAAGCGTATCATTTCCATTAAACCTAACCTAATGATAGCTGCTTTTGTATTATCACCCAAACCAAGACCATCTACAAACCCTGCACCACAAGCTACAATATTCTATATTTTCAAAAATAAAAAAAAAATATTATTAGTAACTTGTTGAATGATGGGAAAATAAATTTATAAGTTACCTTTAGAGCTCCACAAATTTCAACAGCATCTGCATCATCAACTACAACTACTCTGAAATTTTGTGACTGGAATAATTGATGGAAGATTTTAGCGTGTTTTGCATCCCGGCAACCAATTGTTGTCTCACAGAAATTGCCTTCAGCTACTTCATTAGCTAAATTAGCGCCCATAAGTACAGAGCATGGAACCTATATAAAAAAATTAACATTTCAATAAAATTAATATAAAACACTTTATTGCAATGAATATCAGTTGAAAGTAAATAAGTAATTAATATGTAAACATATACATAAATAGTTGATAAATATTACTACAAGTGTATAATTAAAAAAATTTTTTGTGACTGAATTTAATTGTACCAGATAATTTCTTTTAATTATATGTTGAGATATGAAAAACAAGATATCGGTTTTGTAGAATTGTTATAACAGCAAGCGAAAAAAAAACTATTATGAATTTTATGAATTTATAAGAGAAATTCAAAACTTCAACACCAAACTTTTCTGAAGAAAAAAAATGCAGTTATAAACAGACAGCAAGAAGTATTCTCAATACAAGTTATATTTATGAGGTTTGCTCAAGCTTCTGCTTTCAACTCCGCGGCTTAATATATCAATTTTAATATATCACACACATATATTTGACTCATATTTCTCTGCTGCTCTTTATCCCCTGGATGACAAGTTTTTTAAATCTCTCGTGCAATATCCCCATTCTGTCACTCTTTTTAACTTCATTATATCACCCTGCTTTCTATCTTTTTCTCTCATTGTTCACCATAAAAATCTCTCCAGCATGATCACACCAGCTGGTTTTTTGACTACTGTTACGCTTCCCGAAATTAACGATGTTATACGACTGAGTTGAACAACGGCACTCGTAAACCAAAACATTCCTACACTTAATCCATTTTCTAATCTTTACATTATAAAAGTTTCTGATGCTTATTAACATTACAGAACTTTTCAGAGAACTTCAAGGAATAGTAAGCATGAAGAATTAAAAATCTATTACAACTCTTAATTTTATTAGATAATAAAATAATAACCTGATATTCTAGGTTATTAAAATGAAATGATTTGTTTTCAATGTCAACTTTGCAAGATTCTCTCGTTGGGTTAACGAAAGCACTATCCAAAAAAATTCGATTCTTAAAGTAAACTTGCCGTGTGGCAAAAAGCTTTGTGAGATAACCGGACAGACAACTACGGGTATTTTTTTTGCAAAAGTACGGAAGAAGAGCATGAAGACAGTTGTCTTGTCTTCAAGAACAAGATAATATAAAGCATGTGCTATTGTTATTTTACTGTTTAGCACTTGCAAGATCTATATGAAAATTATTGAATTATAATGTTCTCAACATAAACACGGTTCATGGTCTTGGTTTTCACGATTTTCTCAGATTTATTAATGAAACTAAACTTCTACTTCTTCAGAATCATGTTCCGTCTTTCTAGTTCTTTCACTTTTACACAGTGATCTGCAGACTTAGACTTAGTAAACTTGTTAGCCTGCCTTTCAAGTCTAACTTTAATATCCTAAATCTATGCAGACAGAAGTAAGAAGTAAAGATTTTGATATTTATTGTTACTACAGATCTATGATTGTAGCAACATAGGACAATATAATACAGCTGGCATCAAAAAATTTTTTAAATCCCCATATAAATAAAACAAACTGTGACAACAAATATTAAATTTTTCTTACCTTCAAATTTCGATTAATGATATGAGAAATTAAATCAATACCACCACCTGGAGCCTTATCAAATCCTTTAATAAGGGAAATCGCAAAAGCATTTGGTTTGATTTTACCCAAAAGTGTTTTACAAAAGCTGGGTATAAATTGATGTGGTACTACAAAAATAAGTATATCGGAGTTCTTAGCTGCCTCTACAAGATCAGGTACTGCAACCTATAAGAAAAAAAAATTCCATTAATATATTTCTACAGAATATGTGCATATTCGTACATAAATGTATTTATTTAATAAAAAAAATATATAGTTAAACAAAATATGTGTATAGTTATATAGATAATAAAAATATTTATAAATTATATTAAATATAACAATATATTTTATAAAATCTTATTAATTATTGACCTTTTATTTAATTTATTCAAATTTTTATCATATCATATATATATATTATCATATTAAATAACCAAATTAGCAATATTTGCTGTTGGATTTTGGAAAAAAATTAATTAATCGCTGATAATATATCTACAATATTAAGGCATTACGGAAGCCCATACATTTAGCACTTATACCAAAGGTTATAAATAACAAATTATTGAGCAAATAAAAACCTAATAGTACAAATATTTAATATTTGATAATGGAGCGAAACCATAAAACAAAATGTTTTGTAAACAATTTTATGTGAAGTATGTGAAATGCTTGACTCAATAGAATAAACATTAGTATGGACTTTTCGTTTAAAGAATATTGAACTGTATAAGTGATAGTATTTTCAGGAGGAAAGAGGGGACTACATAAAACAATTTTATATTCCGATTGTTTATTGCATTTTACGAGGTTTTTATTAGTGCGAAAATGCGCACTAATTAAAAATATTTTTATTGTTGCTTATATCTATATATGTGTACTTCAATGTTATCAGGTTAGAAAATAGTGTCATACAAGGCATGGAGCTACAATACGGGAGAATAATAATTAACTTGGGATAGACAAGCAATTTTTCAAGTATTCAACGCAATTGACTTTTTAAAGATTTTATTGCAGTAAATTATGAACTATTAAATGCAATTTATTATTTACACATCATTTTTTGCAATGAATACCTCAATATAATATTAAATTGCATGTTTGATTTCAACTAATTTTAGAGCTAATGAAATTCAAAACCAATCATTAGAGTACATACGATTAAAGTGGTTCTCTACAGGTTCAAATTACAAAAATACATATTGTATATATATACAGAAGAAACATTTTTTCTACACCAAACAGTTGAGGTTACAAACTACTCCTCTCCCTCACTTATACTATCTTAAAACATGATAATATATGCCAGAATGAAGTTTTTATTTCTAATGAGATTAAACTTCTTGACACTTTATATGAATATCGAAGTTCACTTTGCGTTGGGACCTTAAACAACGTTGACACTTAGAAACTGATCGACAAAAAATATTTGGGTCAGCATTAAGTAAAAAAAAATAGTTATGTAGATCACTGTTTTTTTCTTAGTACTGACCATCTCTTAAAGCATCAATTGTTGTTGTAACCCGTAGACACCTATATAGCAGGAAATAAAATTAAATACAAAACGTATAAATGGGTAAGATTATGATGCACCGTAGGCAAAGAGAGAAGAAGAAGGATTAATTAGTATATGAGAGGGATTAAACTTCATGTCGTACTTTATATATCTGCCCAAATTGACTCTGACTCCGGAGAAAAATACACGATTAAGAACTGTTAATCCTGAGAAAGTGATCGCCAAAAGATATTGTGGTCATCAGGCAGACTGTCTTGTTTAGGTATATCATTATTTTTGTTAATAACTATCTGTTGAAGTAACAGTTGTTTTTGTAATCTGCGGACACCTATGCATGAGTTAAGATGTTGGTTGAGTGAAGGTTGAGTAAGAAAAAGAAAATGTTTAACAATATGGTAGATACTAACCTTCTTGTTGTACATTATATTCTTCACGAAGTTGGCTCTACGTCAGAAACATAATATAGAAACAAAGCTTTTGATCCTCAGAAACTGATTGACAAAAAATATTTAAGTCATTATTGAAACAGCAAAATGTCTTTAGTTTAAGTAGAACATGTATTTTTCATACAAAGTTGGATAAATTGAAACCCGTGGAAGTCTATATACCAGTAAACATAAATGATTTTAAAATATTTGTTTTGTTAGATTAGGTTAGGTTGTGTTTGCGTAAAGGTAAGATGATAAGAAAGTGGGTTATTTGGGATATGGAAGAGATATGGATTGTGCTTTTAGCAATTTGTAAGTCTATTCATGATATTTTATCAATATATTGATATATATTAAATGAATTATATTATTAACGAAAAATCAAATTTTTTCATTCTTCGATATAAGAAATATTCAGTAGTCCTGTTCGAATTTTTATAACATCTGTGGGAGACTTTAAATAGTGAAATATTTCATTCATTGTACGTATTACCCCTTACAAACTTCTTTAATAAAATATTTCTAATAAAGGTTCAATGAAAAAAAAACCATTACATTAGTAATTGCAACAAATTGAACTTGAAAGGTATTTTTATAACTGAAAGTGACCTTAAACTAATCACAAACAAAAGAGAAAAAATAAAAAAATATAAAATAAAAAAATATAAAATAAAAAAATATAAAATAAAAAAATATCTAATCGCATAGGTATAAATTATTCGAATAAAACAATGCCAATTTCACAAAAATAAAAATCTAAATAAAATAAAATAAAAACAAACAAAAAAAGTGAATCAAATGAACGCATATTTTTGTGTGAATAACAATATCTATAAGAATAGATACAAAGTTTCCATAGATACCTTACCGCCTATATGCAGTTTTGTGTTTTTTTTTTTAAAAAATTGTTGTTTTCATAAACAAATTTAAAAAAATATTTAAATAAATATTTTTTATATACACAAATTTTTTAAGAAATATAAAAAAAAATTATTAAAATTTGAGTTTATGCCAAAAAAATGTGTGCTATCCACACTTACCTATTATTTTTAATAAATAAAAAAGCCCACTCATCTCTTTTCTATTATTTGTCGTTTTTGTTTATACAAATTGTTAGCAGTTTGTAATTATTCTCAGAGTTACGTATCTAAATGTATACCTATAAATATTTTATGCTATTATATATACATTAATAAATATTATATACATATTTTTAAATGCAATATAATACTAATTCTGGTTATATTTTTTTTATATATTTGATCATAGCTGGTGACCCCATATGCCCCCAATAAAATTATTCCCTAAAAAATATTTAACAATATTTCATAAGTGGGTTCATGGGATAGGGTTACACCGTAAATGTGATAGATCAGTAAGGAAGGCTTGGGTATCAATAGACAACAATTAAATACAAATTTTAATAACTTTTTTGGCACATAAGTTTTGATAAAGGGAAATACTTAAAATGGATGCCTAATCCCGCTTTCTGATACGTCCATATATTTCATTAAATTGTATATATTTCATTGCATTGCATTCATTTATATATATAAATGAATTCTATTTTGTTAAATTTTTTTTTTTTTGAAAAATAAAAATTTATATTAAAAGTTTACAATAATTAATTATACAACTACTTATTAAAAATTAAAAATACCGGCTAATAAGAAAGTTCATTGTTCGAATATAATAAAATTTTAATTAATCTTAAAGCAGAAGCCGGCAAAAATGTCAAATTTGTTTAACGAAAACGGTTAGCAGAAAATGGAAATAAATTTAAATAAATGATTTATAACAACGCAATATATCTCAGATACTATGATATAGTGAAAGTAGCGATAGAAACTAGTTTTTGTATTTAAAAAAAGTAAATGAGTGAATTAGTTATGCAACTATATTGACTTACAAAAATATTGAAATAGAAAGTATATATATATATAACATTGCAAAAATTTATTTTTAGCAATAGAAAAATAGAAACTGACTGAATAAAAAGATATAATAAATGGATAAATTTGTTATAGCTAGTTTAATATATTTAGTATTTTTATTTATTTTATTTAAATAATTGTTAAAGCATTTTTAAAAATATGGTATATTTCATATATACCATAATTTATAATTTTTGTTTTAAACATTTATATACTATATATATTAAAAAAAGTTAATGTCTGTAGCAATTTACATACAACACATATTTATTTTAATTTAAATAAATAATTGTAAAATAATGTGCTTACGTCTTGAGGCTCAAGTTAGTAGCTCTGAAAAACTGAATGTCTGCCACTGGCTAATATGGTTATATTAGCCATTAAAAAGTCATTTAAAATAATTAAATCTAGTTGAGCTTTTATTTTTTTATTTTAATATAATGTATTTATATTTTCTAGCAAAATTATGTGAAAAAAGGATTACAGTGAATGACATTAAAGCAATTTTAATTATAATTTATGAGCTGAAATGATATTTTGCGCAGCTCAACAAATAATAAACGAATTGCGACAGCAAAATACTTAAAAAAAAATAAAATAAAATTAAAAAAAATAAAATAAAAAAAAAATAAAATAAAAAAAAAATAAAATAATATATGAATATAATTAACAAAACGAAAATATATTTAATAGAAAATATAATAGAATATAAATTAATAAATTGCAAAATATACATAATTTCAAAATTTCTTAAAAATTAAATTATATTTCTGAGAATGAAAACTAACCAAAACTTTGATAAAAAAAAATTAATTTGCAATAATTACTTAATTGTTTTGTCAAAAATGATAAAGTTTTGATATCAAATCGATAAAAACTACGTTCATGCTAAACTTAAACAAAACATTTATGAAAATTGTACTTCAACACGCATTTGATATGCCTTTTAACTACACCTTCTATTTTCATATCAATATATTATTAACAAAAAAAATAAAAATAAAAAGAAAATATTTTATATAAATAAAAACAAATGTCTTAAATAAACAAAAAAAAGCGCTTATCAACAATACTTGTTTATATTTTGAACTTTGCTTATCGTTTGGATGTACTACTTAACTACTAAAAAAATATTGGACATCATAAAAAATGTTTTTAAATAATAATAAAACAATACAGAAAGATTTCAGGAAATACAATTAAATATTATAAAAACTTTTTTGAATCTTAAGACAATATAATAATAATAGATTCAAAATAATAAATTCAATTTTAACAAATGAAGACAGCCCACCTGTTGTAATA